TGTATCTTGGCAAAAATGTTCACTCAAAAGGAAAGTTCAAAAGTTAAAATTATATTTTATATTATATATATAAATACACAATTGTTTGTGTGCCTTTTCGAGTGCGGCATTGAAACTATTTACTACAATAGTAACAAAATGTCTCTTCATAAAGGTGAAGAAAATACAGTTCAGGTAACTTTGTAACCAAAGGAGATTTTTGCGACACTTTCTGCTGGGTCAAGGTCAAATTTGTGAATGTATCACATTGAATGATCGTCAAGGAAACGCTGCAATCACAGAAAAATAAGTGTATTTTGTGAATTTGACACACTGCAGAGAAGAGTGTTGTTAACAACCGTGCCTAATTTGACTAAATTTAAAAAAGCCTCAAGCGTGTAAAATAAGGTTCTTAATTCCCACCTGGGCTTACCCTAACAGCAACAACGAGGCATTCTAAAGGGACGCCAAAAATGTAAAAAATAAAAAAAAATCCCTCTCTCGGGCACTTCCGCCTTTCTTACATTAACTCAGCAAACACACACAAGGAACCTGGTGTGTTCACGACATCGGTCCTTTGAGGTCTGGACTTGAGGACACCATGTGCCCAGGCTCCATTATTTAGCGTGTAGTGTGCATACTTGAGAGCGCTGGTGGCTTAAAGCGGGGCCGGCGTCTCTGCCACAATCTGACGAATGAGAACGCTCTAGGATGCGTGCGCCGGCAAAGGCACGAACATCACTGCCATTTACGGACTCTCCGATAAATAATTCATTGACGCTGTCTTCATCCAAAAGATGTATATATACATAAGATAAGAAAACCTTTATTTGTCTGAGAGAGAGAGAGAGAGAGAGAGAGAGAGATCTGGCACATCATTTCCAACCAGAGCACTTTTGAAATCATAGTGAAATTGTCTGCGAATAATGAACAATGGGACAGGAGGAATGGAGCAGAGCAGTCCACTTAAGACCAAGACACTACTTGAGGAAACTCAATTATCTCCCTTTGGTGGGAGAAATTTATGAAGCTACAACATAAACGGAGTCATGTCCAAATAGTTTCTGGGAATTTACAAGGCGGGAAGGTTCCGGTGGTGGTGGTGTGGCGTGGCATTTACGCGGGTGATAAAGACTTGAGTGGGCATGCGACTGATCAATGATCGTGGCTTCATGTGGTTCATTCGCCTCGCTCGGTCACTTCACGCTGCGCTCGCGGCGGGACGCCTGAGCATTACGCTCAGGATGTTGTTTTGCTGGAGCTTGGCAAAGCATGCTCATATGGGCCGTAAAAAGTGAACGTTAACACCATCAAGAAACACTATACAAGGTTGACTCAACTACCGCAGGCAAACTGTGTGTTTTTAAATATCCTTGGCCTGATTCTGCAGAAAGGGGAAGTATGAAAGGGGCTACTGCCGCTTCAATCACCAGCTGATGAAGTTTTACCTTCGAAGAGTTGAACAAAAATGTTTTAACGTGTTGAAAAGAATGTTACCTAACTGAAATTACATTTTACATTTACAAAACTCCCAATAATTATCGTGAAAATGTCTTTTGTTGGAGTCGTAAATTATTTCCGTACATAAGTTTTTAAGAAGAATTGAAAACTGTGATAATTTTACGACAGCTGTGTGGCATTACATTACACCAACATTATTGTGTTACCCAGAAGTTAGGTCATTTTAAAAAGTCCATATATGCTACAGCATGTGTCTCACGAATGGTTTTACTGGCGAATCATCATCTGTGTCAGAAAGAAAGAAAGATCTTTCCTCACAATTTTGCCTATTTGTAGTACTCGATCAGTCTGAAAAAAAGTGGAATTTAACTCTTTTTTTTTTTGAGTGGGGGTATACTTTTTAATCTTGCACACAGATACCCTGTATAAAAAAAAAACTAAAGCTAACACAAAAAACAAAACAAACATTTTTTTAGATACACACAAACTAATAAAAACTGTCAAAAAACTAATTCAAATTAACTTCATTGAAAAAAAACCCAGAAAATCCAAACAAAATGCAAACCATAAACTACTAATTATAAAACTACTCTTAAGCGATTAGAGAAAAATTCTAAACGATTGCAACCCTGATATAGTTCCTTCGTTCCTCTGAGGCGACAGGCGAGTGCCGTACAGGCTGCTCAGCTAAATTTGAGCTAACACACTGTTGCCGAAAGAACGCAGCGGAGCATCTCGCAGTTGCCGCATAGCTTTGGGGCTACAGACAATCAAAGCAGCCAAGATACAACACGGAGAGTCAAAAGCGGGCACAGCAGAAGTTGGCAGGCGGAGTTTGAGAGAAAACACTGGAAGAGCGGCAATGATGAATGTTTCCCCGCCGAGGGATGGCGGAATGGGTGACTACAGTAAAGCGACAGATAAAGCCCCATTAACGGCTGCTTCCAGCTGCTTTCTCGGGCTTCGTCACCGCATGGCTCCCCCTTGATGTTTGTTTATCTTTCTTCTTATTTATACCCGTAATTGCTATGCCTCTGCCCGTCTAAAAACAGGCAGTCGCGCCATCATTAAAGACACAGCCGCTGACATGACTTCACAGAGACGTGCGCTCAAAGCCGATTCTGGACAGAGGGATGCAGGAGCTGGCCAGCAAACTCATTAATTGGTCATTGGTGGGATTGCACACGAGGAGATGTCCCAACAATCGCGAATTCATGCCGCCACGATACGGTGAACCCACGCTAGGTTTATCTATCTATCTTCATCACGATCGTATTTTTATTGTTTGTTACAGGATACAGGCAAGTCCAAATTTAGTGTAATTCAACAAATTCGAGGTCACGTCTTGAAATGACAGTTTGCATCATTTTCAAGACATGTCACTTGATGAAGGAAACACTTGGGACTTGCTACCCAGGCAGATAACATAGCTAACGAGTATGGCTAATATTAGTTCATTTGCGCTCTGTTACAGCTAAGCAGGTAAGAGCAGAGTTCTACTCATTTATTTTTATATTTACGGTTGTACTAAATGTTCCATCTTTTTGTTTGGACCTTTATCTCGAACAATAAAAAAATAGAATAAAAGTGAACGAGACTCAAGACAAAAAGTGTTACGTTTACGAATGGAGCAAACATCTTTTATGATGTAGGAAAATGAAATAGTTTGCCGTTTATCAAAAGTTGTTTGATGCTGTTACATTATAAAACCACAAAATTACAAATTATGCTTCCTTCGAACGTGTTTGTATAATGTAGGTCAAACGCTAAAAAAAAAAAATTGTTTTATTTCAAGTCAATATACTGGGGAAAAAATGCTGCATTTGTAGCATTTAGCCTGCAATTAAGTTTGGACTTAGAAGTACGTTTAAATGTATTTGTCAGTCAAAAAATTTTACACCATATTGGCAATTCCACACTTCGGGAATACAATGCTTAATCCTCTGTTATTTTACATGTCCGGTTTACAGTCATTTTCAAATGGGAGTGACAAACAACTTGAAGCAATCATGCTATGAGGAACTGCTCGAGCGGCAAAGTGAGAAGAGGCGCTCAGGACTACGTCTGAAAGTTTGTTTTAATAAGTTTAAGTGTGTTTCAAGAGTATCCCTGGTGATGAAGAGGGGTTGTCTGTAAATCTTTGTGACGGGCAACAGGGTAAAAACTTCCGAGATGGCGCCTTTCACTTTTGCAATGAGACAGGTTGGAGCCTTTTAGAAGATAAGAAGCGGCGCTATGTCGGCCGCTGTCACTCACTCAGCCCAGGCGTTTGTCGCCTCCCAGTCCGTTCGGAAACACACCTGTCTCATTTCACCAAACGTTCAAGCTCCCTTCGTGTGCACGCTAGGACAAAAAAAAAAAACAAAAAAAGAGATGTTCAATTTCCCTCATCGTTTACGAGGACAGCTCGTGTCCTTCAGCGGTGAAGGCGAGACACCTGTCTGATGGATTCCACCTTCTGCATCCTGTCAGATCATCTGGTTGGTTGATCAGGCAGGCGCAGGCCTAATTGGTCTGAAGTAAAAAAAAAAAACAAAACAAAACAAAAAAAAAAACCCACCATAACGATGTCAAATCCAGCAACCTTTACCAATTTTCCAAATAAAGCAAGGTAAGATTATAATGAGAGAGGGAAGATTGAAATATCGATGTCGTCTCTGAATATTTGATGCAGACGGATGGTTGTGCACTCCGGTGGAACAAACTGGAATCGGAATCCAGCCGCTCATCTGGAAAAGGTTCAGTAATGTGAAAATGGCAGCTGCTGAGAGGTCCTGCCCATCCTCATTTTGTCTGGGAGCTAAAAGTCGAAGCTTAACACACCAAAAACGCGACGCTCTGTACGCGTTGCTACTCCATGTGTGATAAAAGAGCAGATGATTGAAGGTTCTGAATTACTGCAGCATCTTTGCTAATTTCCATTTGCCGCTTCAACTTTTTACGTTTGGCGTTTCACATGATATGTTAGCATTATGCTAGCAGGCTTTCGTTTTATTCAGTTTTCTTTCATTCTGTTTTGTGTCACTTTTAAAGTTAACTTCAACTGAGAGTGACAAATAACAAATATTCCCAACACAAATATTTGGAGAACTGTGCAAGTCTTCTTTTCATTTCGTCAAAGTGATGTTATATGATAGTCACCCACTTCTTGACAGCGTGAGGGTGGGAACAGCCTCTAAGGAATACTTTTAATCGTGTGCTTTGCTATGTTAATATGTGCGTTTTGGTAAGTTTATAAGGGTCAAACTATGAAGTTTTGTATGGCCTGAAACGCATCCCTCTTGAAAAATGGGGTTGCACTGTACTTGTACGAACGTATAAGGTGTATAATTCAATCAGTCTTTCCAAACAACAACATACAGAGATGAGTTTATAGCAGTCAGCAGTTGCACTTTTTATTTCCTAGGAGGAAAAACGTCACCTTTAATAACCTGCGATGTTAACACAACATCGTCAACTGCTGCGTGTCGTGTGTGTGTGTGTGTGTGTGTGTGTGTGTGTGTAACTTGAAGCTTACACCTGCCTTTTTTTTTTTCTCCCTCCTCCGTCTTCATTAAAAGGTGCAAGTGTAACCTCCATGCCTCCCAGTGCCTGCTGCAGGACGGCAATCTGCAGTGCCAGTGTGAGCACAACACCACGGGCCAGGACTGCCAGCGCTGCAAGAAGGGCTTCAAGGCCAAGTCGTGGAAGGCCGGCTCCTACCTGCCCGCACCTAACGGAACCCCCAACACCTGTACGTACCCCGCACGATGTGAATGCGTCTATTTCATGAGTCTCTGCACAATTGGAGGACAACGGTCACACCACAGATCCCATTAGCGGGAGTTAAAAATTACATTTACGACGTTTGCAACTTTGCTCGGTGGAAGTTATCAGAAAAGTATTAGAACAGCTGAACTTTATTTGTCCTTAATCCCAGGCACTTTATCCTTCATCCTACCAAGTGGGGTCGAAAATACGTATTACTTTCAGGTCTGTGTTTTGATTTCCTGAAATGTTGATGGCAAATAACCAGTAAAACGAATCTATTGAATTCATTCACTTGTAAATAATACAATCTGGTGTCTTCTTCAGTTCATGAAAATAAGAAAATGTCCTCAAATGTTGCAATGATCCATACACAGAAATAATGATGGCCAGCCACATCTCAATTTAAAACACAAATCAATTTAAGTGTACAAATGAACAATTCTGTTTTATAAATTGGACCTTCTGCGATCGAGGTAAAGAGAATTTAATTGTTCGGCTTATCACTTTACGTCACTGGCATAGATAGATGGACAAAAATGCATGATAAAACAACGTTCCGACCGATTCCGTGAAATTTCTCGCGGCAAAAATGATAACCTTCACCACTCACCGCTGTGTAGTCCAATTTGACGCCTGTTCATTGTAGTTGAATTTTTATCCTAGGGGGAAAAAAATTGTAAGGCAATCCCAATTTGTGTGATTTTTTTTAAGACGAGTTTCAAGGTCATAGAGGAAGTTTGGACAGAGCTCACCGGGTTCGCATCACCTTAGACGAGGGGAGAGTGCGTGGGGGGAAATCCTGGAGGAGAAGGCTGCCAGCTACAGCAGCGAGCGATGATAAAATAATAATCTAGGGCAGCAGCTCCCCAGTTTTGTCCTTTCAAACAAACGCCGACGCTGGCGTGCGCAGGAGGAAACACGCACAGCCAGCGACGCGGGCACAAACGCACCTGGGCCTGCACGCGCCGCACGACAAAAGGCCCATTTTCTACTCCTCAACCGCGCGCTAATGGTACCGACATGCACACTCGCGGATTCCAGAAGCCGAATTTGAACATTCTCAATGTTTCGAGCTTTGCTGGATGGAGGTGCAAATTTGGGATATTCAGGACAGTATAAACGATTCCTTTCCTTCGGATTCAGGTCGCTGTTTTATAGATCAAAGTTACAAGTGACATAACTAAGCAACGCTTTTCTAATACTGTAACAAATGATGCAGAGTGTTAAAAAAGATTTTGGATTTTAAAAGACAACTTTTGAAGTTTTGAGTGGAGTTGTTTTACACTCCAGAAGAATATGCGCATGCAGTGTATGTATGGTTAAAAACCAACCATGTTACAAAAGAATGGAAAACTCTAGAAACATACCCTTTTTCCTGGTAAAAAAAAGAGAGTGTACTCTTTGTTTAGTTGGGCTTGGTGCTCATGTTGTCACCATATAATCATTCAAAATGCTCTGAGACCGCCAGCAACTTGGAGAACTCTGCTTTGGAAATGGCTGGCAGTGAATGAGGTCAAATGCAAGCTCTCCAATGTGAGGTTCTGAAGCCAAAACATGCTTTGTCAGTGTAGAATCTTGAAGCCATCCTCAACGTGATCATCAAGATGTGCCTTTGGGCAAACTCAATGCATAAGTCAACACGTTCTCATCATTTTCATCTCTTCTTCTTCGTTTCAGGTACGATTGCTGGTTCGCCCTCCGGTTCTAGTAAGTAATAATGCAAAGCAGAGGAAATTTTCTCCTTTCCCTTCCCTGTCTTCTTTTGCACCGTTTTTCCAAGTTTGAACCACATCGGGAGACGCTCCTGACACTCCCACCCCTGCAGTCACTCGCTTCTCCTCCCCCTACAAGTCCTCTCCCTCTCTCTCTCTCTTTTTCCATCTCCGCTTCATTATTAATAGGCCCCTCTGTCGGCCAAGTCCTTTCATCGCCGCACATCACACAAACCTGCTCAGGAGGAATTCTTCCACAGTTTGGTTTTCAGACTACAGACGTTGACGGATTGAAGAAAAAGGGAGTGGAGAGCAGACAGTTGGTAAAGTTGGTGGTGCTAGGGGGCGGGGGAAAAAAGAAAAAGAGAATGCCAGCATATGTATGTGATTCCGGGTGAAGGGCTTGGGAGGGGGGGCGAGAATAAAAAGTGCGAGCTGATTAGTGATTCTCTCTGTGGAGAGTCTCTCAGGCTAGTAGCTCTTCCACACAAGCCGGCGTCAAAGTGGTGACATTGACTCTGGCTTTTATGCACATGGCCCCCTTTCGCACTGCATAAAAGGCACCGACGCAGAATGGGTGGACCCGAGTCCATCTATGGCAATTTTGCACTTTCAGAGCAAGTAGCATAGGCGTGGCACCGCCTGTGCGGACTAACTGTTTGCCCAGTCACTGTTCTGGATACAGGGAATGTCGCGATGTATCATCGGGAATATGGTTCATAACCACCCACGGGAGTGTTGATATGTCAGAAATGTTCGCAAGATCAGTGTTCCAAAGCATGCGAGTGCTTGACAACAGTAAACCTGTTGCGGCGATAACCCCAAGTTCGCCATCTTCTGTGTGAAATGCAGTTGTTCTTGCGCAAAATGCTGTGCAGGGTATTTTTCAAAATCATTACGCATCGACATCTGGGTCACACAGAATCCCTGTAGATTTGTAAGCCTCCCCTTGTTTTAGCTCTTGCATAGAGAACTGAATATATCATCAAGCCTTCAGTGCCCGAGTGGGCCACTGTACACACGTCGAGCATATGGCGCACCGGGGCCCGACGTACAGATCACATACTGAGGTCTTTGGGGCTCGAGTGGTCACCGCAAACGTGACGATTAATATAACTCGTCACATTAGCGGCCCGGTTACGTCAGTGACCATGCGAGATTAGGTTGGCAGGACAATCTGATCCAGCGAGCCCACATCCCATTGGTCAGCTGAACAGATGGGCAAGGGCGGGAGGGTCAGAGCCACCAAATCCAACTCATGTATTACACTAACAAACCCGCCCCACCCACCATAACCCCGACTTGATCTTCTCTAACACAGACTGACTACATGTGGGGTGGAACATATTTTATGTACATCTACCCTTTGATTTTGTGGACCTAATGTCACTTTGACATAGTTCATTGGCGCCAAAGATGGTGCCAAAGCACAACTTTTATATGACCCGTCCTGTGGCGTTTTATAAGGAGCACAAAAACAGTAAATTGACGAGTTTTGTCAACAGTTGACCTGCGATTGGCTGGATACTCCAGCTTCCTCCCTTGTTCAGAAATCATTTTCTTTGCAATAATATACTGTGGCACCACGAGTCTAAACACAGTATTCTGATTAATATTGCATTTGTGAAATATGAATTAAACAGATTAAGGCGGCTGACATTTTATCCAGTATCGCCCCCTGCTGTCAACTTTTCAAACAGCCCTTGGGCTCGCATTGTGAATGCTGCGAAATCAATAACAAGAAATCACGAGATAGCGCCAAAGCTCTACTTTTATCTTCGACAGGGCTCTAGCACCATTACATGGCACTATAGGGCATTTCAGACACAGTACAAAAAAAAAATAAAATAGATTCTAAAAACAAAAGCGCTAAGGTCTCATGCAATGGTGGGTGCATTCATCCTGAAAATGTTGGCAGAATTCCGAGCGAACAATATGCCCACTTGCCCTTCTAATCAAAGCCTGCATGTTTGTTTTGTTTTGTGTTTTTTTAAACACCAAAAGTCCACACTGCCTGGGACAGAGCACGATGATGGGAGCATGCCTGGAAAATCATGTAACGCATTAAAAAAAAAGTGTCCACGACATTGTTAAGGCGTGCACGTTAAACGGCGGGCAGCCGACTCGCAATGTCTTCATTAGCCGGTGGCCGAATGAACACCGTACCTCGGTGCCGTAATAAGACATGAGGATGCTGCGAGTGACAGGTGGCATTAGGGCAATGATTGCGAGCGTTTGTCGGGGCGGCGTGACAAATGATCTCATTATATGCAAATGCACTAAGAGTGCGTCCATGTGTGTGCGAGCAAGGAGGAAAAGCACATGAGCTGTGTGCTCACTTAAGGCTGTGTGTGTCTGTGTCTGCGTGTGCGTTCTGAGACAGCCCTTCTGCACAGTCAGACAGGCAGGCACCTGTCAAATAACTGCACAATAAATCCGCTTCCATTCCCATAACCCATTTAAGAAAATACAATCTAACCATATAGTAGGTCATTCTATCTATTTTCCATAGCGCTTGTTCTCATTAGGGTGGCGTGTGAGCACGAGGTGCCCACCCCAACTGACTTTGGAGCGAGAAGTGGGATACACTGCACTGGTCACCAACCAATTGCGGGACACACACAGGAAAACAAAAACAAAAACGTATACTCTGTTATTCCCCAAGAAACTCACAAACTCTTTTTGTGTTCCTGACTGAGCAATCAACTTTTGCGGCGTCTTGTGGCATTTTGCTGCCAAGGAACTACTGTATTCGTGCCAAGGATTTATGTTGAGTTGTGTTGTAGAGTTTCTTTTTGATAAAAGTAGTGCTTTGCCGCCATCATTTGACATGCTGTTGCCAAGCAACTATGTCAAAGTGAATTGAGGAGCTTCATTTAGACAAAGGTAGTGCTTTACCATCAGGATGTTTGATACCACTTTTGTTCAGACTGATACCAGGATTCATTCTTTGCTTACGAGAGGTTGACATTGTTTTGGGGAAGGTTATCAACTTTACCTTTCATCAGGGGATTGGGACGGTACAGGATAAAAAGTTCACAGGGGCAGACGGGATCAGGATTATCCAGTAACTTTGTTTATTTTCCCCCCAACTGGCAGCAGAACGAGAGTGGGAGTCATTATGAACGGGAGCAGGATGGGATGGGAGTTGGTTCTGCCATTTTTTTTTTTTTTTTTTAAACAATGGATGATACAGGATTTGAAAATCCACTCCTGTGTCATACTTAATTTATAGCTCACCAATACTGCTATTAGCCTTTTAATAAAATGACAAAAAATGGTCAAAACCTTTCTTTCTGATGCAGATGATGATGCGCCTATGTGTCAAACTGCCGGAGGTATTTGGCAAACTAGTCCCAAGAAGGACGTACCCAATGTCATATTTTGATGTATCGGTTGCTGGTATCGCCACTGCATGACCAGCCTCGTCCCAATTGCGTCACAAGCTGTTACACTAACGCTTCGCTAGCAGTGGAAATTGCACTGCTCTCGTACTTATGACTAATTAATAATAGAGCACTCCACTAGAGGTTAAGGGCCAATTAATATTTGCTGTGATATAAAAACAATCGGACACCCCACACTTCCACCACCAAGTCCCTTCGATTAGGGCCCCGACCACAGGGTCTTTTATTTTATTTATTTATTTTCGAAACTTTATTGTGTGAACGCCAAAGTCATTTCTCATTCCGCATTTTTCACTGGATTCACAAAATTAAGGAAATCCAGGAGACAATTTTTCCTGTTCAAATAAAGTAATATTAAAAAAAATGGAGCAATGAACGCACCGTGATGCCCTGGAAATGGGCGAGCAAAGCCACAATCGTTGATGATCTTTCACCCATTTATTTAACAGGACAAACAAAACACAAGCTCCCGACGTCACTCACTAGGCCGTGCCCATTAAGGCTTTAAAAAAAAAAAAAAAAAAAAAAAGCATAAAATTTGATCAAGGCTTTTGACATAGAGTGCAAAACATCATTTTATGGCCACATTAGCCTTTAAGACGATTCTCTGTAGGGTTAAAATAAATAAATAAATGGAAAATCTCCCAGCAATGGGAGGCTTATGGAACAGCTTTGGAGTTCAGTCTTTGTCAGCAGTGTGAAATCACACTTCACACTGTGTGAACGCTCATCATGTGTGCGTGCATGTGTGTGTTTGAAGGGAAAAAAAAAAAAGAAAAAAAAAGGGAGGATGAGGCGCTCTCTAGATAAACAATCTGAGGCAGCATCTCCTATGCTAATTCACGAGCTCGCTCAGCAGCTCCTCGTTGCATTTACATGCTGTGTCCTCGTGTAACTGATGCGGCTCGGCATCAAAAAAGAAAGAAAAAAAAGCCTTGAACAATTACAAGCACCTGGAATCTCTCCCAGTACATTTGCATGGATGCATAGAAGCATGAATGTACTGTACATAAAGTATGTGCAAGGCAACTTCAAGTTGCATTGTGTAATATCTATCTCCCCCTTGTGGAGCGTTGTTGTACTGTTGTTTTTGGATGAACTGACAGAGTGAATCCCCATTTACCCCAGCCAGGGATTATGCTCCAGACTCATAAATCAAAGTATTACTGTATTTGCAATCACTTCCAATGGGGATAAAATCTGATTTATAAATGAAACAAGTCGTAGTTTCGAGTGCAGCCTTTTCAAACCCGATTCTGACTGCTGTTTTCCCACAGTAGTTTCTTGCTACTGAAACAGTATGGACTCACACACGTGTGTGTGTGTGTGTGTGTGTGTGTGTGTGTGTGTGTGTGTGTGTGTGTGTGTGTGTGTGTGTGTGTGTGAATGGTGATGCTTTGATGAGATAAAGCAATGGCGTTGTGCCAGTCATGTGAGATGATGACGACGATGATGATACGGCCGCAGAAAAAACAGCTGCTGGAACCCCGGGGAGGACGTAGGGGGTGGAGCGTGGGCGGCAGTGAGATTTGCCCGGAAGAAGGATGCTTACAGGATGCCCCGCTCCGAAGAGAAGCCACTGGAGACA